TGCTCGTCATAATGTTGTACATACTGTAAGTTGTGGTCCACTACACGCTTTTGTATTAGTGTTAAAAAGTAGTATGGCAATCTAAGCAGCTCGCACCAAGTATTTGTTTTCAAATAGGTAGGCTGCTGGGAATGGATACGGTGAAGTTTGCTGGCAGTCATTCAATATTCAATATTCAATGTCCAGTGTTCCACTGATTCAGAATTGAACTGGCTTGTAAATATTTTACGTTGCAAATGTAATTTGTATGCTATACAATGGGCACAATCATACGCAAGAACTAGCTCTACCTCAGAGAACTTTATACTGTTTCTTCGCAAAGATGGTTTTGCACCACTATTCAACTCCTGGCTTCAGCATTGTCTTTAGTAAACATTTTATATTCTTTACGAACCTAAAATAGGCACCTGAAAATAGTTTTTCTAGAGCTTAGATCTCGGCTAGATAATTCTAGTTCATCAAATATTTCGCAAAGCATTTGGCAGAGCCAAACCCTGTACTTACGGAGGGAATTCACCAAATGACGCGTCTGACAGCTTGTTTAAATCTATAAGGAGCAGTCGGCGCTGTAACTATAATAATGATATGTCACTTGCTCAAGTAATGCTTACTGTTGCAGGGCAAACTGTTTTTACGGGTGCTCTCATTTTCAATGGACACATTCACCGAGCTCCCTTTCTGGACTGCAGCGTCTAGTTCTCCGATGTAATTTGCATGAACGTAGATGCAACAGATTTCTAAGAGTTTGCCTTTAACATATATTCAACATATATTGAATGCTTTAAGTGTATTCATGACCATAATCATTATTGCACACACATTCTACCGAAACGTTTCGTTTTTATTGTGACATTTGAGTTTTCGACAGTACTTTCCTACTCATGTCGGTGGTTTCATTTAAAATCGGGCAGTCTAAAAGGGCTTAATATTTAATGTTGATGAAAAATATGTGTTTTGGGGGCATTTCACAAAAAAGAAGGGCGCGAACCGCAGGTTCCCCATATTTCTCGAGTTACGAACCTTAGAAGCCGCAGCGCCAGAAACTAGTACTTTTGCCAGCCGTCGTAGGTCGCGTGTTTGACACTTTCTGCTGGCGCTAGTTTTTTTTTCTCCACCCTCTTAACTTTTCCCCCATTTCATATGAAATATAAAGACAACTTCATGTATTCTCATATTTCTAGAAATTTCTTTTTTTTTCTAAAACAATTGTCAAACTTGTTGTTCAGGTCAATATTCGACTAAATTTGACAGGTCCTTACCTTGTCTGTGCTTAATGTGAATTTTCTTTCTTTAGCTCTATAGAAAGCCCAAATAAAGTCCATTATATATATGACATTAGAATCATAACCTACTGACTAGCCGCTCCGCCACCTCCACTTAAACGTTGCGAGAAATAACAAACGTTGAATATCTAAGTCCGATTTTCTCAAAAACACCATCTTTGTATATTTTTTTAATTATTTGAAATATTATAGTCGACTGCAAAAAAAAGTCAATCTAGAAATCTAATATATTAGATTTTTTGCTGCATGCCTTCTATTTGAGCCGCAATCGCATATCCATTCCTTCAAATCAAAGCATTTGAGATCTGACAAAAGGAAATGTAGCAAAGCGGTATCTTAATTTGTCTTTTTATTTGTCTCATGTGTAATTTTGTCTTCATTGCACGTGAGACACTTGGTTTTTTCATCGAATGTTGAATACATTTTTATATCGAGCGTGCGCTCGCAGGACCCACCGGGGTCGTGCTGACACTCCACCCACAAGCCAGAAGCTCCTGAGTGGCAAGACTGGGAGTTTGATATGACAGCTCACGAGCACCTTTGTTCAGTTAAATTTACAATTATCATCTTTCGAGCAAAGTTAAGCTTTGTTGCGTGCACTTCTTCTATATATAAATACCTGCTATCAAATTTACAAAGTAACTTCATTGTGCCACTGCTGTAAGGGCTCCACGAGGACCTCGGGCAAGACCTTATTGGTGCGCAAACATCTTGCTTTTTTAAAGCCACTGGAAGATGCTGTGACTCGCTGACATTTAACGTTACAAAGGAACGCTCGATGTCCGCGAGACCAAACGTTGCACTGAGCAATGTTAGAGATTTTCGCAAGTCTCTCCCGAACGATGCAGACGGGTAGGAAACCATGCATTTCTAACGTGTTAGAGGACATTCTACAGGTTGTAATTTGCAAGCTTAACAGATGTGTTTTCAAAAGCCGTAAGAGTTATACGGCCAGGGGGACATAATATTGGGGCTAATCATAACGCTCAGTTGGCTTATTAAGTAAAATGTCTTCATTAACGTTTTTAAATTATTGAAAATAGGCGTATGGTTCCAATTAGAAACTTGCTAAGCCTCATTGAAAACCCCACTAAATCAACTATTTGTATTTATATGCAATTCAATGCAGCATTTTACGACATTCTGAAAAAAAAATTCGATTTGGACGAGCTTCTAGGTTTCGGTGTCTTATGAGAGCGTACCTTCGCGGACGCGGTCCTGCTCCCCCGTGGTCGCGGCGCGAAGCCACCATCTTGTTTCCCTCGTAGGACGAACGGAGGTTGCGTGCAAGTGTGTTGCGCGTCTTAGCTGTCTATACCTTCAAGTATGGCATTTTTCACTTCATATGCAGTGAAGCAAGACGTAAAACACTTATGTTTGCACTTTTTTATGCTTAAGCTCATTTCCAAGCGGTCACACCAACCTTGAAGTACTCCTAGATTGTCCTAAAGTGCACTAGCATCCACGTCAGTTTCAACTATTCGCAATACTTCATGATTGTCCGCAAATAATTTCCCGTGCGATTATAGACGTTAGCAAAGGTCATTGATAAGTATAAGGAATAACACGAACCCTAGCACACTCTCCTGTGGTATCCTTGAGGTAACTAAAATCGACGAATCTTTCTGCCCTTTTAGTACGTCAGCTCATTCACGACCGGACAAATAGTGAGTAACTCAGTTGACGATCTTGTGTGTTGGTACCAAAGAACATATGTTTTTTTATCGAAACAATATAAGGCCCAAAATCGAAAGATTTACAAAAGTATAAAAATATAGTCATGAAGTTGTTTACTGTCAATAGATTTCTAAATAAAATGTGTGTATTCCACCATTATGTGTCACACGAGTAAAAGCGACTATATTCATGCAGGACTGAGAAAATAAATAACAATAATAATTCAAAGAACTATATATAAAGCCATACAATATATGTTGAAAAAGCATATAGGCAATACGTGTATGACACACTGGTCAATAATTTTCTACAGAATTGCTTGTACCGGACATAAAAGTCTGAGTTAAATTTCTTTTTTTTTCTAGTCACTGGGGACAAAACCAGTTTTTAGCTAGTTGTCAAAATAATACGCATATACTGAGCAATTTGTTATCTGAAATTCTGAAATAATATCGATGATAGTCCATCTCACCCAAATGTTTTTGAGGAGTTAATATATTTTAGTAAAGCCACAACCCCAACTACTACGATTTTCTCATACGGCACGACCGTCTCTATCGTCCGAGCAAACAAAAGAACGATGCGATTAGAAGCAAAAGCTGTGAAAACAGATTTAAAATGAGTGTTAAAATCATCAACATTTTCAATGTCTCCATTTATATATTTGGCTTTTTGTAACAAGACAAAAATATAAATATCATCTTATTTTGTTGGTTTGCACACAACTTCAGAAATCTCGCGGACCGTTTTTATTGGTTTGTCTTGAAAAGATTGAAAGAAAATAAGTTTTGCTTTCTTTTGTGTCGTTTATGCCGCGTTCTGCCGCGCCACCTTTCCAGTTCCATATATAGGCCACGAGTTGCCGCGCCAATAAACAGCTTTCCAATCCTCATCATCCACACAATACAAAACAAAATCTTGGTTTATTGCGGTGCTCCCTCACAGACAAGTATCCTCGAATACACCGAGCCCCACTTTAAAAGTGAGTATCGCCAAGGATTATTTAGGTATTCCTATTGAAACTAGTTAATTAGGATATTTTGATGGCCGGCAACCAAGTGAGAATTAAAACATGAATAGATCACGCGAATATTGAAAACTATAGTTAGGTAATTTTAGGCAATTATATTGCTAATTGCCAACTTCTATTCGTGCTTTCACGTCTGCCCTGGCCGGTATGTTTTTAGTAATCATTATTCTAAGTTATTGAAGTGAGCGTGTTGAGTTGTAGACAATTATAATTGAAGGAATAAAAACACGAAAGACGAGGACGAGACAACCACAATCATTCAACTGCTGAAAGCGTGTTGTGGTGTCCTTGTCCCTCGTGTTTTATTTTATTGTTTTTAAGTATTTGTGATTGTTTTTGTTTCAATATCCAACGCGACTGAGAAAGCACCCTGTCTATGGTTTTGCCAAAATTAATAATTTGTTGAGGGACGTTTAGGGTCAATGTAAAAGTGTCGATAGTTGGCCTCAATTAGTTGAGGGGACACTGAGAGGTTAATTATGTCTCGCCGATGTACTTATCTGAACCGACCCAGAACACACTTTGCGACTCGAAATTCTTTTACTGCCAGCCCGGAAACAATCGGTCGAGAATTGGTCAGTCTCAGTCACGCTCACTTTCTTTTCCATAGATACGTGGTGTTCACACTACGTGTACCCAAATATTCAAAGTCGTGGGTCATCTAAGGCGCATATTCAATGTCAAAAATACAAAAAAATTATAAATTTCATTTTTAGAATTAAAAAAAAAAACTGCAAAATACGTTGAATTTAAAGCTAATCCACAGGTCACAGGAAGTGCATGGGGACGTCATTACCAATATGGAGACGTACCGCGCGCTGTACGACGCGATTGTGAGGCACGACAAACTAACGTTGAGACGGTGCGCAGAAATTCGTTGTCGTCTCTGCAAAATGTTTATTGTGTAGTCTGATGACACCACATTGAACAGCTTGGCATAAAATGACAAGAAAACATTCGGGGATATCGGTGTCTCTCTAAAGTACTGGTGAAACAAATCAGCACAATACCTGTTGATGGTATCCCATGAGGCGGCCCAGAATGTTGGCGTTGTTTACAACGTTGAAGTGAGACAGTCGCGCTGGTTTGGGTTGCCCTGTTGTGCCCTACGTTAAAAAAAATCGCACAGTTTAAAATAATTGTAACGTATGTAAACTGCAAGCCGTTGCTTTGGGATAGCTATCTACACTCCGTCATGCCTAACTTTCACAGTGCCGAAATGTGCCGTTCCGAGTGGCCAGCTTTTTTTAAAATTTTAATAACCATACGCAAAAAAAAATAGTGCGTTTGTATTTAAAGTACGTGCACGGATAAATACAAAGCTGAACGTTGACTCATATCTCTTTGGTAGGGTAAAAACTCGGAAATAAGACGAAGACCAAACAATTCCTACAAACTAGGGACCCAACATATCAAGACCCACTTGGTTCTTATTCATGACGGCTATAAGTCTTTGAAGAGCAGCAACTTCTTTTATGATTGGGGTGATGCGATTTTTTTTCGTCTTGACGCGTAGAGCGTTTATGTTTGCGGATTGTAAAGCGCCGAAGAATCTATAGATGTTGCCTCTTGTATTCCGAATGTGCCACGATTTAATAAAACGTCTATCGGGGATTACTCTCGGCGTCAAGGATGCACCTGTTTTCGGAATCGATTCGATGGCATTCAGTGTCCGAATGTTACACAACAGTGCTGCGCTCTTCGCCGATTAGCACACATAGCCTTTGTGCGGATGATGACTTTCGTGGAAATTCTTTGTTTAGCTGAAGTTTCTGGTGGGTCAATCAGGGCAAGGACTTCAGTACTCGACTCCTTTTTTCTTGACTTTGAGGGGGCGATCTTTTGGCATTAGCATAAGTCGTCCCAGTGTTACCATGGGCTTGTGGGCGACCTGAATTGCATCTTTTTGCAGCACGCCTGCCGATGACTCACGTGAACCTTTCATATAAGGCAGGCTGATGCTTGTAGTTTGTTTTTGTTGCGTGCGCCGGTGATTTCGAACTGGACTGGAGGAAACTCGATAAATAAAGCTCCTGGTGGAGCCATTATTCTTGAGATGTGCAATGGCAGTTTTTTTTCTTTGCGTTGCCTTTTGTCTCGGTTGAGCAGATAGTCCTCGCACTGGAGAGGAGGGTCGAAAATACCGATGCTTGGTTACTCTTCGGATGGTTTGAGTCAAATCGAAGGTAAAGCCATCTGTGCGTTGGCTTCCTCTATGCAGAAAACTCGCGCTCTTCATATTTTCTATTAATCTAGAAAAGGCTGTGTGTTGTTATTATCACATTCCACGGCAAACTGAAATGCGGGCTTGATGGAATTGAGGTGTGCGAGAAAGCTGTATAGTTGTGACATTTTTAAGATACAGAAGCAGTCATCCTCGTAGCAGAGGAGCCCTTTAGGGCTTCAAGAAAATGACTGGAGGGCATGTTGTTCACTGTCTTCCATGGTTAGGTTTGCCATGGTAGCGGAAACAGATGCGCCCATCGTGGTGCCGCATGTCTGCATAAAGTATACTCCTTTGCAATTGAAGTGCGTACTGCAGAGACATAATCAGACGAGTAGGCACACTACATCCACGCTTAGTATTGTCACTTTGTTCAATTTCTTGTCTTTCTCAAGGACAGTTCTGGTCCTGGCGATCGCCAGATGAACAGGAACTTTTCTGGAAAGATATACCACGTAAAAATATACAAAATAGCTTCAGCATTGCCATTCAAGTGCGAAACGATTTCCACAAAGTGCCCGGCGTTACGTACAAGGGTTTCAGGTTGTTCAGCGAGAGGGAAAATTGTAAGGTGCAGGCAGTTAAATAGTTCTCGAAGTGTCGATGTCAAGAAGCTTCCAATGGACCTCAGTGGGTCGTTCGGCTTATCAATCTTCGAAACTCTGGGGAAGCCTGGCGCAAACCCATTTCTGTAGTTAAGCCACAGATAAAGGTTCCTCGATTCTTGATGTTTCTTGAAGATTTTGGCTTGGATCGCGTTCATTCTGGTTTTAAATAGTTATGTCGGGTCCTTCTTAAGCGTTTCCTATGCATAACTGTTAGGGAGATCGTGAGCCATGTCCCGTAGGCCTCTCGATTCAGGACCACAGTTTAGTTGCCCTTGTCCGCTGATAATAGCACACTCGACGTATCTTCCAGAAGTTTTTTGAGTGCTCTTACCTGTTCCACTGGTATGCTATGCTGGTGGTTTTGCGAAATTTTGGATATTGCGCAAGTCAACTTGTGATTCCCTCCTTCTGGACCACTTTGGTTGAGGTGCAGAATGCCATCTTACGAGGTTGAAACGATTTTCCGCAGGGGTAACCTCGCGGTCGTCACGTTAAAGCCATGACCCTTTTTAGGACATCAACCTGGCATTACGACAGTTGTTTGGACGAAAGGTTTGTGGCGAGCCTCTTGGTGTCTGTGCTGTACTTTGCCTCGGCGTTTTCCGTCATCTCTGGGAACCTATTTCTGTGTGATGTTCGGTGTTTTTCCACAGAGGTGAAGGCAAACTCTGGGTGAATGACTGCTCGAATAGGGAACACCTCTGGAATGTGACGTTCGAGTTGTCGAAAAGTAAGAACAGGTTAACGTTTTTTTCTTTTTTTTTAAGCACATATTCATGACACTCATGAATATGTGGTTTAAGCAAACGGTGCTCCTGAAGGAGAACCAAGGCGGTTTTTAAACGTTGAAGCCCTGGTTTTTAATTATTGGTTGGCGTTCGTTTTATTTAGAAATATATATATGTCTCCTTAACACACGTTTGCACCTTAAAATTGAATTAAAGGGAAAACAAGGTAACCGTGGTTGCTGTTAAATGAAAATGCATGTGCCCGCATAAATTGTAGAAGCCCTGGTTGCTCCCATATCCCTCTCAGTACAAATTGCACAACACCTGGCCTAGACAGCCAGATTTTTATAGCCTAGTGAAAAAAATCAGCCTGACCAAGGCACAGCTCAGTCTAATTAAATAGTTCGATATGTTTGAAACTTAAGGCTTCATATAATTCTAGTCCGTCGGGCATTGGTCATGTCAAACCGATAAACTAAAAGGCCACGTCACCTTGTATGACCTCATAGGACCTAGCAATAGATTAACTATACTTGGCAGTGGGCACGCAGATACTTGAAGCATACAAAGAGGCTCCCTAAATGTGACTTTTTAGGGAGGGTTATGCGGTATCGAGATGGGATTGGACGCTCAGCCGCTTGTTCGATAGCAAGATTCAAGAACCGAACGGTTTTCAACTTGGCCTTTGCGAAGGTCTTTCTTCTCTACAATATGTCATTTGATTGATTTGTATATATTATTTTAAAATTATGCGACACCCCTCTGTGCCTGCTCGACGTATTACGCCAATCCGATCTGCACTGCTCATGAATGAAGACAAAAAATCATGAATGTTTAATTTCAGAAAGCAGAAATGGCAGCAAGATAAGAACACGAAGTCTGTGCGGACCTTCTTATTGAGGTTTTGTTTGTGGGATTCATGGAATTTGTTATGTTAGGTAAGAATGAATTGCCCCGCGTCTTGATGTGCAAGTCATCGGAGTCGGCCTGAGCGTACAACTAAAAACTATACAGTTATCCGTACCATTCGGTGGAATTAAGAATAATCGTCACATATTCTGGAATTTTCTGGAAGAGTAAATTCGTAAAAACTGTAAAAATATTACTCAACCTTTGTGATCGACAGGCCGGTCGCAGCAGGTGGAGGGACTGTTATGACAACACAAGTGCGGCCTCCGCTATACTGTTCTGCTTCGTCATTGCTGACCATAAGATTGTTGTACTTTTAGAACATTGCTCGATTTCAGATGCTGATTATCTAAAGTTAAAATTCAGGCTTTAAACACTTACTGAAGAAAACTGGATGAAGGCGTCTTGGTCGAACTGTACTTTGTCACGCACATTGCTCATTGTGGCGTGGTCATGGGCCGTCGGAGAGTTCATCAGGTCATCGAAAGTAATAGTTCCGCTGCAGAAGATGAATTTGTCAATTAATTGCAATTTCCATCGTGGGAAAAACTGCCTCTGGGAGCCGTTCATTTAAGTGGCAAAAAAAAGTCTGGGAAAAGTAACTTTATAGGAGAAGGCATCAACGGTTGCCATGAAGACCCACAGCAAGGCAGATAACCTTAAACTAGCGTGGTTGGGCCTAGTTGATAAACAGTAAAGCAATAACTACTTGTACGTTCTAGACACGAGAAATGTGTGAGTAGTGAGCCACCCAGCGAACAAATTCTCCCAGGTGATTGGCATTTCAAGACTTTCTTCGTAATCCCCGTCGGGTGTGACAGACTTCTTTCAGGGGTGCGGCAGTGCTGCCAAAAAGGTAAGAAGACCCGTATGCACAAAATGTGTTTCCGCGAACTTTTACAAAACGTGTGACAAACGCTGCAGCCACTTTGTTTTTCCCTTTGTGTTTTTTAGTGTGTGCGTATAAAAACTAAGGGGAAAACTGAGACGAGCAGGCGCGCTGAGTCGTTAAAGCACCGAAATCTGCTCAGAATTATTTGTGGGTAGACCCAACGCTAGCTTCCTTTGTCTCAAGTCGGTGTTCAAACGAAAACGCCGAATTCTTGCGTTCGGTTATCGCTTCGGAACAGTGAATAGACGGGTTGTTTCTTTGCAGGACTCCAAACTCGCATAGAAGTAGTATCGGGCTCATATTTATGGAGTCTGCGGTTTCATTCCCCTTTGAATAGAGTTTAGAATTTGGTTCTTTCTTCTTAGTTAGTATTTCTTCTAAATTATTTGTTATTTAATACAAATTAAAAAAAAAATCAATCACGTAAAAAAAAGATACGTTTTTTTTTTCTTTTTTTAAGTAGCAACCGACGTTTAATGAAATAAAGACTAAGTAAACAAGCCAGTTTGTTTTTATGTTGCATAATTTTGAGTAGAAAAACGAGAAACCTAGGACGATGGACAAGGAAAGGGGCAGACGCAAAACGCGCCAAAGGCAGCTCTTTGCGCTTGAGATGTTTTGAGTTTGTCTTTTTCTTCGTCCATCTCCGGTTATATTCTTTTTTTTTTTCTTTTTAATGAGCGATCTTTGGTGACACCACCCTCAATGGTCATCTGTTTTTTTGCTCGACTGCCCTCGCAAGTGCTTGCTACAGATTTCGTAGCGGCCTACGTGTTGTTCTTTCACACTTTGCTCAGTGATCCCACTTTTAAATACACATTGGGTTAAAAACATAGTATTGCCAAAAAACAGCATTGTCTCAGTCCTCAAACCGCTCCCGCGCAGCACCCTTGACTGCGTCGTCACTCTCTGGTGGAAAGGGCACGCCATCCTCTCACCGTATAAAATAAGAAAATGTCGTATCTGCTTGCACCGAAAGAGGTAATGGCATAATATAATTACAATATAACTTGAAAAACCTCTTTTATCGTATATGCACTCAACACGTACATTAGTCCAATCCGGAAGATGAAGTTAGATACGAAATACCTAACGTACTTTACATATAGTAATCTCAATACATTGCGCCAAAACCTTGAGTTGCGCTATTTGGCACATCACACAGCGCCAGAAAGAGGTACCGAGTAAAGACGATAATGACACAAGGCTCACTGGCAACTGAAATGTTATTAGGTAAACATTCGGTTACATGCTATCTAGAAAAAATATATTACTGTCCTATCCAGAATGCCCACTCTCGCGTTATGCTTCGAAGTACCTTCTCAATCGTGGCCAAAGAAGGCTCGCTGACGCATTTATGAGCACCCTGTGTCTTGATTAAGAAAAAATCATCCATTTTCCTGTGTATTTTTTTTATGTGTTCTCAAAATCGCAGTGTCTTGAAAACATAAAATGTGCACACATTCATCGCAGTGGAGTTCTAAGCGCCATGAGGGAGGCCGCTTTAAGTGGGTTACGACACGTAAATGAAACGGGTAGCTTATTCTTGAAATAAAATGCTATCGGCTGCTTAGTACATACACCAAGTTTCGCGATTTTTAGAGCTCTGGTAAGTGCAATAATCCAATTACGAAGGCAATTAAATTTCGTCTGGCCATCAGGCAACACTGCTCACGTGAGTGACACCATTGTGGTCATAAACCACGTTATTATCACATTTAGTTATTCGCTTCCTCATTCTAGACGCCGATATGCTCTCTCAAGTTCGCCTCGCCATGTACGGTGGCACACTATCACACTTCTCGTCTATTGCTGCGAATGCTTTTGCTCCCGCTTCCTTGCCCTTTTACCTTCGGCCCTACATGCACCCGCGAGATCGTCGCGGGTGGCGACGAGTTCGTCCGTGACGATCTCGTCGACATCGCTGGAGCTGGTCGCGAACGGGTCGAAGTCAAAACGACCGGCCTCCCGAAATATCTTTATAACAATCACTCTCATCCCTGCTGCGATCAGCTTCAAAGACTAACGAAGAAACCAGCGATGCCGTAGACGGCGGCGCCTTGAAACAGTGTGCTCGAATTGAGAATGGAAGCGTGGAGGCTGAAGCTCGAGACGACGAGTGAGCCAAGTCTGCGAGTGCGTGCAAGGGAACGCCGCGCGATTGGCGAATGACCTTACCGTCCTAACAAATATGCAGTCTTAGGTAGTAACGCGTTACTAGTAATGCGTTACTTTCTTGGTAACTTGTAACTGTAACGAGTTACGTTTTAAAAAATGTAAATTGTAACTGTAACGAGTTACTTTTCAAAAATGTAACTTGTAACTGTAGTTCTCTTAATTTTTTCTGAGGTAACGATGAAAGTAACGACGTTACGTTTATCGTTACTTTCCAGTTTTTTTTTTTTTAATATATTCCTGAACGACTGCAATTTAGTCATTCCTTGCACTTTCCAAATCGTCTATTCCGACACTTCGAGATCGAAGTTGGCCTTGCACAAATTTGTGAATACGATCTTTCTCGCGAGTCACGACCCGAATATAGCCGCGTGTAGATTTTATGTAAAAATATCTAGTTATCGTCACGCACCAGCTTGTACTTTGTGCCTGAACACTTACATGTTAGTGTCTTGAAGCACTACCTATGTTCTGGTTTTTCTTTTTTTTTTGTGCAAACGCTTTTTAATCGGGGGTATCAACCATATAACAACAATACACGTGAAGGACTCTGCTCATGTCTCGCATTTTGATTAGCGCTACTACTCCGCATTGCGCATGTTTCGTATTTTGATTTGCGCCACTACTCTGCCGTGGAAACTTTTGAACACTAACTTCGAGAAGCAACTGCTGCTAAGTTACAATATGAACTAAAAAACGTACTTTTAAATTTTATTCAATAAAACTTTGTGAGGGGCGTTTTCTAGTTTTTTTTAATTTATTTGTGTTATAGAAAAGTAACTGAAAGTAACGTCGTTACTTTTTAAAAGTAACTGCGACTGCAACGAGTTACTCTTTTGTAGTGGTAATTGAAACGGTAACTTCGCTACTTTTTTCCGAAAGTAACTGTAACTGCAACGAATTACTTCTTAAAAGTAACTTACCCATGACTGCAAATAAGACAGAATTTTCGAACCGGATCGACCCGAGGGTCACGCAAAATGAACCGATTTGTCAACAAAACGAGCAGAGATGGAGGGAGGAGGAGGAGGAGGATAGGAGGGTGAGGAGGGGAGAAGTGAGGAGGAAAGCAGTAGGAGGGAGGAGGAGGGGAGATTTTAGCTACCCGTTGTGCAGGCAAGTGACATCACCATTCATAAATCGCAGAGGCACGTACGAAAGCGTGGTGTACTCGTTATCCAAGTGGCCATCTACATGGGTACAGGTCTGTACGGTACCCATTGATCTCTGTGGCACGTCTGATGAAGTTGCTTAATTGTGTGCCGCTAAGCTCGACGAAAGCGTGCTCCGTGGTAGCTCTGTATCTCTTGCCTACGGCACTCGCGGAATATTTTGTGCAAGACAGAGGAGAACTTCATGACAGTAATGCAGGAAAACATCCATTGGCCCCGGGGGACGTGCACTCACTGTTTTGAAGTACGCTCAAGACTAATGCTGAGGAAATCAGAAACAGGGAACAGTCTTCGACAGAGCCGACAGCAAGTAGGATGACATCGAGAGTAGCACGTGCTTCGTCAAAGAGTTGACTTTAACGCTGTCTCGTTCTTCCACCATGATCATTCCGTCCTGTTTCCTGGCACCGGCAGAACTTAGACAGGGTGGAGCTTTCAGATGTGAGAACTACATATCCTCTCACACCGGACAAGCGGTGAGCAAGAACACAAGAAGATATATACACACACATATATATATATATATATGGTGGTTTTTTTATTATTTCAGATTTGTTTAAAAAAAACCGTGAAAGCTACCTTCTTGACTTAAACTGCGCAATTAAGTTACGTAAGGAAGAGACAACAGGAAGGAAAGAGCGCTGACTTACAACTGAGGTTTTAATAATGATGTAGTGAAAGAGAAGGAAGGTGTCAAGTGCGGTAAATATTATTAATTTAAAGAAGGTTACAATTACTAACCTCTTTCTAAGGGCCATATTAACGAAATGACAATTTGCATTTTTAAGTAACCCAAGTGAATATATCTACGTGCAAATATTCAGATGTGATCCACAAAGTTGACAGGGACCCAACGGTTACTGGTTGTCACAGCCAGGAAAAAGAAGAAGAAACACGATGTCGACGGTAATACCAAGGGGGGTTGGCTTCCAGAGAAATGAAAATTGAGAAGAAGGAAAAAAATTGAGAAGAAGAAAACAGGAATAAAAAATAATTTAGGGACTAAAATTAAAAAAAAATTGGAGCTCTTTCGCCGTCAGAGCAATCGAAGGCGTACTTATACAGGCTAGGCCCTTATTCGCGATCTTGCACGCCTCGTACACCTCTCTAGTCTTTTGTTCCTTAAAATGTTTAAGCACCTTAGTCTCAGAAAACCTTGGTGTGCTCCCGCAATCTCTCACATGCACAGCAAGATGGCCCGCTGGCGTTGAGTTTAGAGAAAGTGCATGCTCCCTGAGTCTCACATTGATGCACCTTCCAGATTGTTACAGATACACCTTCCCACATGACAACGGTATTTCGGATATGATGCCGCTCTAACATCCCACGAACTTGTATGGTTGTTTTTACATAGGTCGTGTGTATCCTGCTGCTCGTTGATTTTTGGACATAATCTTTTAAGTTTGTCGGGCGCTGTGAGGAGGATAGGAACCTCAAACTTTGCGGCTACTCTTGTTAGGTTATGGGAGAGACGGTGAAGGTAGGGCATTACCACAGGACGGATCTTTGTTCGGTTTGGACTTCCTTTTTGATGTTGTTTTAACATGCTCTCCACGATGGTGAAAATAACTGAAGTCGGGTACCCTGAAGCGCGAAGTCTCTGCAGCTGGATGTTGAAGCTTTCTCCTGCTGTGTGGTCGCAAGACTTCCTCAGAGCCGCCCCCAACGTACTGGCAACAAATCCTCTTTTGACGAGCTTAGTGCGTGCGGAGTCAAATTGCAGAAGGCTTTTCTTTGCTCGTGGAGCGTACATCCAGCATACACTCTCGTCATGGAATGTTATTTTGAGATCTAAGAATTGGAGGGACTGGTTTTCCGGCCATTTATATGTGAACTTTAGTCCCCCGGCGTGTTCTTCGAATGTCGTTTGAACGGAATCCATGAACTTTGTCTCACACTTGGGTCTGGAATTGATTGGGATAAGATAGTCGTCAACGTATCTGAATATACGACTAACCTGGGGAATTTCAAGGCTGTCATCAATGGCTCTATTACATTTCGAGAGGTAAACATCAGTCAAAGCAGGAGCTCCACAGGATCCTATACAGATTCCTCTCTTCTGTATGTAGTGTCCTCCATTGAACGTTACCACAGTTGAGTTCAAGTAAAACCGTAGAAGCTCAAGGAAGGAATCCACTGCCATTCCACAGTTGTTCTGAAATGCTACTTCTCCATTGGCTTCAATGTGTTCTCTCAAAGCAGTAAACATCCCCTCGTGAGGTATGGAGTAAAATAAGGCTTCTACATCAAGGGATAGGCCATACCTAACAGATAAGATGTTGTTTCCGAGATAGACAATCACCTTCTCAGAATTGGAGACCAGAAAAGGGTCATTCAGTCGTAGGGTTGCCAATTGCCGTTGGAGGAACCTTGACGTGGCTCCTTGCCACGATCCTTTTTCTGTAACGACCACACGGAAAGGACACGCTTCGTTGTGTGTTTTCCCGGTGAAGAATAAGCCCAGTTGATCTTTATCGGCTGATGTTATCTGTTTCCGTAATTGCACTAACTCAAACTTGTGGCACAGTTGTAGAGCTCTGGCCTTCACTGACTTGGACGAGTAGCCTTCTAGTTTCTTAAAATTTTTCCCGATGGCCACTCTTACCTTATTCATGTAAATATTATGGGGAGCTACAATAAATCCTCCTTCTTTATCGGAAACAATTAAGTTTAAATTGTTCTGCTGGAAATACCCGACAATGCTGTCTAACTTGGTTTTACTGCATGTTGCAGGTGCCGTTCCCACATCCATCGCCACATCCATGCATTCATCCATACACCGGGGTCGGTACGACTCTTGTGTTTTTGCCGCTATATCATGAATGGTGGACACTATCTGTACACCGTGCATTTTTGGATTTGTGCAAAATTTGGGCCTTTCTTCAAGACCTTTGTTATTTCTACAGGTAGATTTGTATTGCCTCGGATGATAAGAGGCTCGTCCCTCGTACATCTATCTTCATTTCGAAGACTCTTGAGATGAGGAACGTATGTCTACCAGAAAAACTCTGTCATCCTACTTGCTCTGAGGAGGTAGACTCGATATCGTGAACCTTTGCCGCTGTGGGAGTGTCCACCCTGGGCAAGTATCTTAAGGCAGGTTCGAAAATACCGGACTTGTCTCCACTCTGAGTGTATGATCCGGCAGATTCTCCTGGAGTGGCCCGTTGATGGTTGGGATCACCGTCGACCCTTGGGATCACCTCAGTTGTGAGTCAGCGCTCTTTGCTTTCTGTTGTCTCTTCCTTACGTAACTTAATTGCGCTGTTTAAGTCAAGATGTCTATCCAACTCGCCCAGCAACTCATTTGCGTGAAAGCTACAATTATGGGGTTTGTTACGGTGAGTTGTACGGTCAGGCGGACATTATGTGGCTGGCTAATCTTTGCGATAAATCGGCTAGTTAATTAGAATTCGTTGATAAACTTTTAATGAATAAAAATGGGCATATGTTTTCAATTAAAAACTTGTAGAGCATCATAGAAGACAAATAAATCAACTATTCTTAAAAGGCTATTACGCCGGGGCAGCATTTTACGGCGTTCTGTAACAACGCTTCATTTGGACGCGTTTATATATTTCGGTTTCTTGTCGGAGCGCATCTTTGCGCCCGCGGTCCTGCTCCCATGTGGCTGAGAAGCGCAACACACGTGCGCCCTACTTCCCTGTTTTCTGCGAAGGAGGCAAGGGGGTGGCTTAGCGCCGCGACCAGCGGAGAGCAGGACCGCGGGCGCAAAGTTGCGCTCCGATAAAAAAACCGAAATCTAGAAACGCGTCCGAATGGAGCGTTTTTACGGAACGGCGTAAAAAGCTGCCCCACCGTTATATCTTTCTAAAAATAGTTCATTTAGTGGTTTTTAATGATGCTCTACAAGTTTTTTAAATGGGAACCATGTCTATTTCCATTAATTAAGAAGTTAATTAACGAATTTTAATTAATTAGCCGACTTATCGCAAAGATTAGCCACCTACATTATATCCGCCTGGCCGTATAACCCACCTGCACAAACCGTATAAGTGTAGCTTTCATGACTTTTTTAATCAAATCTGAAATAATAAAAACAAAACACCCTGTATATATATATATATATATATATTCTCAGATTGTTTAGCACGGTATATCGCAAAATCGAAATACCTCAAGAGAGAAGCAAGAGGACGAGGGGTGAGCACGGAAGGAGGAGGGGAGGAGGAGAGGGTATGGATGAGAAGGAGGGGCATAACAGCACTTTAGTACCCTTCCCTCCTCCTTCTCAAGAGCTGCGCTCTAATTCAGCATTACAGGGAGTTGAAAACATCTTTTATTTTTTTAGTTGTAGTTGGTATTATAAAATGGAATGCTCATTCTTGTGCGAAATTTCTGTAAATCTATATACAACAATTTTATTTACGCCAGAATATGCATTACATATTTTCTCACTTATATTAACTGATATTAGATACGCGCAATCAGCGGAGTTCGAAATATTTTTTTAAAATTATTTCTGCATTTTCCCGCGCGTTCGCGGCAATACCGTATGTCAAGGTTTATAATCATTTTGATTATTGCACCTCTGTGATAGCAGCCTAAACAAGCTTCTTCGAATCAGTCGTTCTTTTTGTCGTCTAAACAACATTCTGGCACACTGCTAATTCCTTTCGTAAGCACAAGCTTGCCTCAATATTTGTTGCTTTAAATTGTAACGTTTATTTTTTTAATTTTTATTTGTGACTTCATTTCTTAACCTGAATGCCGCTATTCATTGGCATACCTCTTTTTAGAATCATCGCGCACTGAGTCTTGTTCGCCTTAATTATACACAGAGGTCGAAAATCATTTCAGGCTGGTCATCTTATTTTAGGCAATTACAAGACCATTGAAATTACGACGAACGAATAATAAGGAAAGTTTTTTTTCTTTGGTTGGAAGCTTTCAGTGTTTCTTAATAGAATACTCAGCTACTGAAGGTTCATCTAAGGTGCGATTAACGGAACTAAAAGTGATTTTATATATCACAATGAACAGAAAACGACAGTCAACCGTGTCACTCTGGGAAGACATTCTCAAGCTGACACACACATCTGTTCTTTAAGGTACTCACGGCTTCCGGGTATCGCCGATGGTGATCACGTGTTTCAAGAACGGCAGCCTGGAAGAGGGCAGCAAAAGTTGCGACATTTTTAATGAAAGCCAGTTGCGAAGTTTCGAAGCAATAATGAAGCATCCGAATCGTTACCGTTTGATTTTCAACTCTGTCGGCGCCGATTTCTCCAGTTCAGGGGCAATTTTAAGCAACATCTCGTAGAAGTTTTTAGGGGTATATTTGTCCGCGAGGATGAGAACCACGCACTCTGCCTGAAAGCAATGGGTATTTTTCAATAAAAACATCAAACGTCAAAAACTCAATTTTTTTTTTTTTTTTTTTTTTTACGTTTGGAAGGGAAGCTTAGCAAATAGGCGGTCTAACCTGGGTGGTAAAGCCGGGAGCAAAAAACGCTTAATGGACCTGCAAACAGTAAGCTTCTGCCCATGCCAACAATCACGCTGTCACCATTCTCGAAGCACACCGGGACGTGGTGCCATGCAAAAATCGCTCGTATTTATGGCCAATTCGTTTGGGCCCGCACCGCACCCGTCCAGTGCAGAAAACTCTTTCCACTTTAGTACACGAAAGACTAAGTTAGAGAAGGAAGCTCCCCTCTCCCGTCTAGCCTTCCGTGTACCACGAACCGCACTGCATCGCTGCATTGCGGGCCCAGACGAATTGGCCATTAGTCTATTTTGACACTTTGTTCGTTAGTATCGTAGTATGAGGTATAAAACTCACTTAAAACTGATGCAACGGCACGACGCCAACGTGTTTTGACGGGCGGAGGGCAAATTAGGCTGCTCTTCTATTGTCGTTCGCAGACAACTCCCCAGACGGCGCTCGTTACCCGAGAGAGGTCCGTTGCGTGCGCCGAGAGAAAGGAACGAGAAAAAGAGCGTCTGAAAGCCTGGTAAGAAACCGGTAGGTTAGGCGTCTTCATTTTGCCGCGACGTGTTAAAGTTTTTTTTTTTCTTTTTAAAGAGACCTTCAATTATGATGCAGCTGTCCGTCTTGTTCCCATTCTCCAGCGATTATTTTCGTCAGACCGTCAACTTTATTTAGTTTTATGCAATGCGCGACGACCATCCTTTCCTGCTCACTTAAGCGAGGAAAACATCTAATAGAGGCTTTCCAACCCATGTTTTCCTTCTTTCTGCATAACGAGCGTCGTCAGCAATATGGTCCCATTAGAACCAGTGATGGCCACGTCTATGCTCCATGCATGGAGCATTTCCCTCTTTGTTAGTATACAAAATGTGGTGTCCAAACCTGGAGGATCCCGGCTCGAAGATAAAGCACAAACTTTTTCTGTGGTTTCCAGGACCCTTTGCGGGGGGAAAGTGTACAGTTTTGTCCTGACGATGCATCGGCGCACAGAGGCAGGAGCTCTTAAGGAAGTGACATCACGGGGGTTCGTCTGGTGCAACATTCCTGGATTACGTCAGGTCTTAAAATTCCTCGGAATAGCGGGGAACCCCCCCCCCCCTTTCCCCCCCCTTCTCCACCCCTTTTCTCACTCCCTTCAGTTCGCCTTCCGCTGTTTAACCCGCCATCTAGATTTTTGTATCAAAATTGTCTGTTACATTGAGTACGCTTAAAAGACATCTAGACGATGCGCTTCAAAACATGCGTATTTTTAGAAAACACTGTAGTTGTCATAACAGTTATCCAGCGAGTGAAACGACGGGAGACGAGCCGCTGGGGTAGAGTTCGTACTGTTCGTGCAAGCTGCGTCTATGTGCGCTTCCGCAGCAGAGATATTCTAGTAACGGTGACAAGGTGACTAATGAATTGTTATTGATGTCACGGAAAAAGGCGGATGAAAATGGAGAGAGGTGGGATGATCCAGGCGCTTGCTTGTTGCGCTGACCACCTCGGAAATAAAAACAAACAAACAAAAAACACTCAAAACTGTATAGGCACATCCGGGAGAGTAAATGTACAAATTATTGTACAATTTTAGTTCATTTTCGAAAAGCAGAATAAAACAAAAGCGACTTCTCCCTATGAAATCTTCTTTATTTTCAATTTGAAGGGTTTGCAAGAGGCAGGGGAACCCCCTCCTCCTCCGGTTGTAGTATTCAACTCTGAATGTAGTTCACTCTGAACCATGCCAAGATAAGACGGAAGACTTCATCGGAAACACCCCACCACACACAAAAAAAAAAACAAAAAAAAAAAAACGCCAGTATTCCGTAAACGAAAAGACGGAATTTCGACAGGGGTACACCACACTAAACTTTGTTGACTTATCTCCGACTTTTCTAAGTGGCGAAGGCAGGATGCAATTAGGAGGCAAAATCAAAACATTCCTTTTCCCGACGCCAACCGTAGTTCGAGCTCTTTCCCCTTAAACCACAAGAACCAGCAAAGCTTTTGACGTACGTAAGGGAACGCAGTCGTTTCATTAATCGAAAGTTTCTACGAAGCTCGTATTGTTATGCACTGATTGTTTAAAAAAAAAGGAACGCACGAACCCGCACCAGTTTCGCTAGTACCGCTGTGCAATTCGCCCATTCCAACATAAGCGGGGACTCGCTTCGGAGACAAATGACGCCGAAGCAGTCTGGTTGGAGATTACGAGTTTAATCACAACAGGGACTTCATTAGCACATTACGTTTCCCGACCACAGAGATTCAAGCACTGGGCTACTTCCAATCCTACGTTAGCAAACCACTTTCATTTTCAGTGAAAGCCCATTGTTTAGTTTCCTATTTTTATTCATATCGTGGCGCTACTAGTGCGACGACTGGTGTTCCACTCGTCGTCCTGGTATCAGGGGCGCACAGACGCCTCTTTCTTTGCAACCTTCATGTCTCTTGTAATGCGAAAAGATGAGGGATATCAGGGACCGCGGAGGGTGGCACAGTGACAGCTGGTCTGCGTGAGCTATTCCTGAGAGTATTCTAGAAATGGGACCGCATAAAAGAGTGGTTGGTTCAGAGTTTACCGGTGATTCGGAGTGGTCCTAATCATCGAGCTGGAAGCTTCGCTGCTATTCACTTACTGGCGTCACTCAATGTGTGCAGATTTGTCAAGACTAAAACGCTACCTTTATTCGTAGCTGGCACGCTGAAGTGGAATTCCTGCGTTGACCTAACTTGGTCTTTTTAAGCAATGTGGAACTGGAGGGCGTCTTAGAGATGTTGCGAAAGTTCAGCTGGAAATGCGTGGGCCACCACAACAGGCGTCTCCGAATCTTTTGGTTCAAGTGGCACCACACATTTTAACAGTTAATATTAAACTTAATATTTGTTATGCACCGTTTGTTTCCCACTCAAACGTATGGACAATAGGAGGCACGCGCCGCACTGGCAGGATCGGCACGTGGAGAGATCATGCCGTAAGCCGGATACAGGGCGTGCAAGGCGGACTCATGGCGGGCGATCGGTGGGGATAGCGGGGCCAGTGAAAGCCTTAGCTCTATCATAAAGGTTCTGGTATTCTTACCTACTGAATGCCGTGTCCTTATGAATGGTGAGGGGCAGACACCGGACCCCATAGGAATTTGGCGCAAAACGTGAGGCATAATTCTCTCTGGTGGGTTGGACCACAGACCTTTAGACCACACCCTTTTGGCATCTTAACTGCGATTTTTTATTCCATTTCATTTCTGGCCCTCTCCGTTATGCTTACCTGCCCGTTCGAGTGGGCCTCAGCCAACGGACGCCATTTTTACCAGATCTGATGCAGCTCGGACAGTCTAAGCAGTGGTTTTGTGTTCTCTTCGTGTGCTATTTTGTTTTTGGGTTGTCCCTTTTTTATGCTTTTTTTCTTTTTTTTTTATGGTTGTTTTTGCGATGTAGATCCGCCAGAAACACACCGCAAAACATGCAAGACCGGAGAGTAATTCGACCCCATGTCTATAGACCTCAAAGCGGGTGTGGCCTACAAGTGTGACACGGTCACACAAAGCCTGGTAGTGGCTGATTTCGAATGCGATGGACAGAGCTCACTTCATCAGGTGGCAGTGCCGATGTAAACATATCACGACAGGAAGTGCGTGGCTGACTTCTTGGCCGAGCTAGCGGCACTTCACCTTGCCACGAATGCCCGCAACAATTACGTCCTCGCGCACGCATTGACCGTTGCGTTTCAGTGCTGTGCAACACCCTGGTGGCACATGTTGGTTCTGTTCCTCACCTGGAAAGAACTCTGACGATATTTCAAAGATTAAATTCGTCTACCTGAATACCAGCCTCGAGTCCAGAGAGAAATAGAGCGCCGGCCCACCACACGGACGAAACCATGGTCGATTGGGTCCGGGTGATACAGGAGCTATATGCTAGAGGCTGCCCAACCACGTCAAGTTTGAAAGGGTTACTCGGGTCGTGCAGCAGAGCCACCCGAGAATTCTGGCCCTGCCTACATGGCCGTGCCTGTTCGACTCTAGAGTACCTGGCCTGAGACGCCCACGGCATACAAGAGTCGCTGGCCAAACACCTGTCCTGGCCCCCACCGCAGCCCGTTGAAGCTCTCAAGCTGTCCGGTGCCCGGCAAGCACAGGTACCCTGTAGAGATCCGACTCAGCTCTAGAGCTTAAATTACAGCGCGGTCTCCCCCTTCCCCCTCCCCGTACGCTGCACGCCTTCCCCTTCGAACAACGAGATCGCGGGAGGCCACCCAGTAGCTGGGAACACCGGCTACGTGTCCGGCGTTCAAGGCCCTACCCTTGTGATATCATCCGGGCGCGGATGGCTGGTCCCTCGAGGGAGCAACCAAAAGGCCACAAAGACAAGCCCCGTGCATTCCGCCACACGGTAACTCGGTGCGCCGCTCTGGCTGTGGCCGCTATCGCCACATCCGGAGTGACCTGCAGCGCAACCGTCATGCTGCTTTGGAAAACCAGTTCGGCCAACGGCGTCAACCCCTTAACGCCCGCCGTCCGCGGTGGCCACAGACAACCCGGTGACATTTTAAATGGTATGTCCAATCCAGACTGACCCTGAGCTGATGAGCCTCGTATGGCAGTGTTACAGTGCTAAAAAATACGCCAGGGGGTTCACAGCTTCTCTTGCTAATAGATGGGACGGCCCATGCCGAGTACGCCAGAAGGCTTCGCGCCTCATGTACACGCTCGTTAATTGGAAATCCGTCGACCTACTGGAACTTTCAATGTCATCGACCTCAAATGATATTATGATTCGGCTGATGAACCCTCGCAGGTGGGAAGCGACGGCGATCCAAGTGGTAATTAGGATGCCATCTACACCCGCGGGGACTGGCTCCAACATGGGCGATACGCAAGAAGACTAAGAAGATTGGCGCTCTTGGATTAGCCGAATACAAGTAATTTAATTACACGCACACGTTTGAGTATTTGCGAGCGAGTTTGTGCGGAATGTACCTGGCTCTGATCTCGAGAGCCTCATTCACCGTTTGTTGCACCATGTAAAGGATACCTTGTGTTTCTATTTTTGCATTTAATAATAATATTCTACAATCAACGAGTGACGCAGCGGTACTGCTCACTCCCGCCACTGGCTCCCTGGGACCAACCGGGTCGTCACCAACCGGCTACGGGGTCCTACCAACGCCGCCGCCTTTCCTCCCGCCCACGCCGGGGACAGGGCTTGAGAACTGCAACTAGAGGAGTTCTAGACCACCAGGGTCTAACCTTCGCCACCCGGCCACTTCGCTTCTCATCGTCACCACGAAACACACACCAGAATTGTAGAGATAGGGTGGGTGGGGGGAGCGAATATGCGGAGGCTCGCCGCCCGGGAGGGATGGGCGCGGGAAGAGCTCCCGAGACGAGCCGGGGACAGGGCGTGCGAGGGGCGATCGCGGCTGGAAATGGCGGGATCAGTAAAAGACTGGGCACCATTCATAAAGGTTGCGGTTTTCATATCTCCTACCTATCGCGTCCTTTTTGCCGCTGAGCGGCAGACACCGGATCACAAAGAACCATGCGGCGAGCAAGTGTTTTAAGGTGCATATTTGGCGCGTCGGAATGTAAGGAGGAGTACACCAACCAAAGAACGACATAGACAAGACACAGGGAATGTGCGATGAAGCGGCAGCCAAGCGCGCACCGCCATTGGTTGGGGTCGGGGGAAATTAAAGCATGAGGACGCGTTTGGGGGGTGAGCAAACGTACGAGGCGTGCAAGGAGCAGACAAACTTGGACGCCGTTTTGGTATCTGGTTTGGCCAACACCTTGGAAAACGAACTTGAATAGCATTAACGTACTATATTTTAAGGCCAAAACTAGGTGGTGATGATAAAACAATTATTAATAAACAATCCAAAGACCGGGGAAAATACGAAGGACAACTGAACAACAGGAAGTCTAACACGTCTAAATTTACTTGACACAAAGTTGCGGTTTATACAGGCAACCTGCAATGTTGTTTGTTTTTGCACTATATAGCGATTGTAACAAAAACATTGGTATGCCTGGAAGGGGCGGCTGCATAGTTCAAACGATACCTATTACTTGGTGGCGTCGCTTAACCTGGTGTCTGAAGCAAAAACAAAAAATGTTGTGTAGGCCAGGACGTCGTGGGAGTATAACATGCCTATGCGGCGGGAGCTTTGTCTGCAACGGGCTAATCGAAACAATGGAAAGAGGAACGTGACTACGTATCGCCGGAGTGCGCAGTACTGCACAGAAGTGTGAGGCTTTTGGCTGCGTCATACTCCAATATGCTTTCGTTGCGCTCGAAGGCATAGCGCGGATCCAAGCCCTCGCAGCATAATAAGGGGCGCAGTGTTCATCCTGTGCGAACTTACAACGATACATGAATCTCACTCTGCTAAGTTCGTCTTGCCGTCTCCGGCTGTCCCCCCCCCCCTTTATGGTTCAAATTCTTCCAACAAACAAAAAAAAATGTTTTCACAAATGCATGAATAATATGAACATTAAGCAGGTGACACAAAACTAACTCCAGTGCTATTCCGAAACAAATAGACGTAACAAAGAAAAGTGGGTTGAAGCCCCACCCCGTAGTCGGACAAAGATACACAAAAAGAATCGAAGCTTGTGGCTCAGCCTCGCCCAAAAAAAAACCCATAAAGAACCGAGGTCAGACATCCGCGGAATTTTGTACATACAAAGAAATGCGGTTAGGGTAAACATAGAGTGGACAACCATCAACCTCAGCATATTGGAACACTAGGGTCATTGCATGGTTATTTCCCGACTAACAAAACAATAAGATTTGTAGGTATACTTTGAGTTCCGCGTCTAAACTTAGGGAAGGTGAATATACCGCAATTCAGATATTCATATTAATTCATGGGGGACTCCTTTATCAACATTTTATTATCATCTTTATAGGTTAAGACATCTAAGTTAAACTAGCAGAAGAGTACTTAATTAATACATTTGACAGAATATCTTTACACTTATAAATAGGGGTCCTTATTTTTAGTACAACGTTTGTGCTCAGTTAATCAGTTATTGGACAATGTATCGTTTGGCCACTGTAACATAGCCAGCAATCAAAAAAAGTTTTACATAAAAATCCCGGACAGAAGCTCACCGGACAAAAGCTAACTGGACCAACGCGGATCGTAAAAAACCTCAAGATTTTTTACAGACACGGACAAATGCTCAGCACTGTTACCCGGGAAGCCGTACGAATGCGCACCGGAATACAGATGTTTGCTTTCATACATAAGCTGAAGTTACATAAAAATTATTCAGCGCCTTCTGAAAAAAAGATATTAAGGACTCGCGCAAAATTTGTTATTGTTAATAAAATAATGTTGATCAAAACTTTAATGCAAATACAGCCTCCCACTAGCTCGAACAGTTTTCATATGTCTGAAGGTGATCGTCCACAAGAAGGGCGTTTTGAAGACCCTTTCTTGCCTACCGAACCCCTTTCAACAGGGGCTCACTTTGGAAAGCTTGAACCAAAGCGATTGTACCAAACGCTTGATCTCGTTGAAGGCATTCGATCAGCCTCCAGACACTTCGATGATCCTGTAACATAAGGTTGCAGAACCAGTGTTTCCACCCTTCGCAGACGTTGTTGGGTGCTCATGACTGCCTCGCTCGTAGAAAAAGCAAGTGTAACTAGCAATGTCCCTAAGTCATTTTATATGATGCCCCCCCCCCATACACAAAGAAAAATAAAAGCAACCCCTGCATAATTTCCCAATGTCTGTCAGAGGTGTTAAGTTTACAAAGTTCAAACATTATAATTTGCAGTATATTCTTCACTGAACGAGGTCAGTTACGTCGAAACACACACACGCACACACACACACGAAAAGGGGAGCTTCTTTCGGGTCCGCCAATGTAGTATGATTGCGCTTTTGACCGGTTCCGCAAAGTAGGTGAGCTTTCGTCTGGTGAGCTTCTGCCCGGTACCCTCTTCAGGATGAGCTTTCGTCTTGTGAGCTCTTGTTCGGCTACCCGAATCACAATTCAGATCATTTCCTCTGTGCCTTTAGGAACATGCAGGTTTCGCGGAAGCAAACGGAGTCGTGCGATTTAGTTTACAAACATTCTTTAACAGTGCGTCAATACCGTAACTGTGGTCAACTGAATTAAGACTATGGGAGATCGTGTTGGAAAGGAGATAACTACGCGCTCAGTGGGATTGCAAGCGTTCTGTCTCTTATTACTAAAGGAAACGAGCTGCGGTAACTGTTGGAAAATATGATCCTCCAGATGCCCAGCTGGAGCACCAAAACGGCGAAAAGACATTGTTGCGAGGGCCCACTAGAGTTCAAGGATGCCTTCTTGAGAGCATATGTTTACAAGGTACCGTACAATGCCATCTTTACATTTTGTAAGGCGGTACGAACGGACAGAACAGGTTTTGATTTCGTTGTTTTGCACTGCGGTCAACAAAATTTAGATGAAGTCTTCAACTGTATATCTAAAGCCTGCGAGCTACCATTTTCGGTCTCCTCACAGAACCAAAAGGTAACTCTGTCGCACCTTCTTAAATTCAGTTTTCTATCGACGCCACTAAAACACGATCAATCGTACAAACCAAAATGTTGTTCACATAGCGCCTTATAGTTGTGTTACCTAGAGACCAGTTCTAAAAAAAGACCCGGTAGTTCAAGTAGAAAAAAAAAAGAAAGGTAAATCTCTGGAAGAACTGGAACTACGCCCGAAGCACTGCATACCCCCCATCCCCTGTTTCTGAATAAAATGTTGATGACCGTATTTTAATAGCGTGGTCTGTATGTATAATTGTTAAAATTATGAGGAAATTAGATGCCGTTTTTAGCCTTACATTTCCGATGGCGTTCATCGACATGCTTATTACAATATTTTTTTTATCAATTAGACGTTACTGACTCCGGACCACATTTTTTGACAACCAAGAATGTAGATGAGCATGTATTTGAAAGAACAATGTATGTGAATTGGAGATGACTTACCTTATTCAAGCAAAACTCAACTTCAGAGGGCGTGCTGAATGTATGGAGGCCAACCTGGAGAGCAAAACAAACGTGAACCAGGATTGATTGCTGCACACGGAGTCTGCACAAAGTGTTGCAGCCAAATAACTGAATCGCATTTACCATTACAAGTCCCGCCTTGGACGCGGCATAAAGAAGCTGTGCCCCTTCGTAAACTCTCGGAGACAATATGGCCACTCTAGATCCTAAAGGAAGTTTGAGGGACACCAGGCTTGCAGCTAGCTGATCTACCTATAAGAAAAGAAAAGCGACATTCTCTCTCAAAAGATTTTTTTTTACTGCCGCTGCGGATGTTTTCCTCTCATATTTTTTTATTCCCATTCCCAACAATCACGGATGGATGGATGGATGGATGAATACGGCTGAGCCCTTTGGATCGGGCGGGCATGGTCCACTTGAGCCATCTATCTTCAGACGTCGGTAACCTTTAAAAATATGACGTGGGTTCTTGATGGGCGTTGACACGCCTCAGGGGGCCGCACGTGACATCAGGGGGTAACTTGACATCGGAGGGGGGGGGGGGGGGGGTCACGTGACTTCACGGTTACGTCGACGCCAACGGCGATGCCGCTAAGCCGGAAACGGACCCCTAAGAGCTGCTCTTTAAAAAATTGAATTTCTAAAAAAATAATTTCGTCTTAAGGTAGCGCAGGTTCTTTTATCAGTTAAAATATTGCAGACACGGTATGTATTACCTAGGCTATCGCGCAATATCTTCATGCCAACAGATCATTGTGTCAGTACTTCGCTTTCATGGACTGGCTTTCAGTCTCCGAGTACCATTGGAGCTTATTTCGAAGCGAATATTCGTCGGCGGTTACGAAAGTTAGAAGAGGTATGGGATCTTTGAATTAGCGACCTTGGGGAGACATGTAAAACTGATCCTAGAATGTCTTCTAATTTCCAGACTTTCGCTGGATATAGCCTCCAACGAAAGGGGGTTTAAAAAGTAAACATTTCGGCAAAATCTGCCTGGCTAGGTAAGTATTAAGAAAAGAAACTGGAAGTACTCTAACCAACTGGTTTAAATTTCTTGACATTTCACGGCCTGCTCGGTCGCGTGTTCACTGGTGACTTATTTGGCTGGGTGTTCGTCTTTCTCTTCTGCTCCTTGTCGCTGCCGTGAAAATCGTCTTCTTCTCTTTGTGACTCCACGAAGTAAGTGAATATAGCTGCTTGCGAGGATACCGATCGACCGGTTCAAGTTTTTCTTTGTATGCTGTATGTGCCAGGACTCTAAATAGAGTCGTTTTTTTTCAGTTTCTTTCGGTGTCTAGGACGGAACTGCTGTCGAAGTTGATGCCGTGGTTGTTCTTTTCTGCATGTTCCGCTATAGCGTTTCCTTGCACGTCTTTCTTTTATACATGATATTTATGTCTGCGAAGAAGTTCAGTAAAGTTCTTGGTTTCTCCCACATATGAGGCGTTGCAGTCAACGCAAGGAATACGATAAACAAGGCCTTGGACTTTTTCTTTTGAATGACGATCTTTTGGAAGAGGAAGAGGAAGAGGATGGCCAATGGTCGAGACGGGCTTGTGTGTCACTGCTATGCCGTATGGTCTGAGAGGACGGTTGAGAACTTCGCTCGTGCTTCTGAGGTACGGGACGCACATGCGGCTGGTGGGATGGCTTTCTCGGCTGCAGATGGGTGGCGAAGGTTCTTGTAGATATTGTTGACGAATCTTGTTGGGTATCCGTTTTTACGAAGGTTCCGTTTTATAATATCAACTTCCTCTTTAAGTGCCTTACCTGTGGAGAAAACCGTGATGGCACGTTGAAATAGTGCCGAAACTAGTGAAGGTTTGTGAGATGTGGGGTGGTCTGAAAAAACAATTTAGTTATCTTCCGGTGTGCGTTGGTTTTCTCTAGACCTCAAATATTTTAAAGGTTGCCTGAATTTTCCACAGAAACATCCAGAAATGCAATGCAACCGTTAGAATCACGTTTACGGGAAGAAATTATGTTTAACCCGGATTTTATAAACTCGTTCGGGGTGAAAACTCCGGAATGCCGGGCTTTATACCCGAGAACGAAGGACCCTGGGTGTGATTCGTGGAGTTTCTCCTTCTATTCAACTATCCTATCATTTCAGAGCTATTTTGGGGTGCAGCTGATATAAAAAGACGAGTAAGCTTGCATTATAGTTAAAGAAACAAGGACTCAAACCAATAATAAGCGCTATAAATATTTCTCTGTTTCGCGTTGTCAAAGTTGGCAGCATAAACCGATGAGCGAATAGATATGGTCAAGCGACATATGTATACTGAGTGTTTCAGAAAAGGTGGACAAATTCGATATTGCGAAAACTACGCATCACTACAAAAAAAAAATGCTTTTGTCGTTTTAATTCTAATCCAGGGTCTATTTGGGAAAATTTAATATTAAAGTTCAGGATATATAAGTTAATAATTATTTTCGCGTAATTAATAATTTAAATGTTGAGTTTGATGGCATAGTTTTACTTGGAATACTGATGAGCATCATCTAAAAACGCTAGATAAAAAAATTGGAGTGCGATAGAAGGCACGGGCTGCATTTTACAGCTTTCTGAAAAACAGTACAACTTCGACGTGTTTTTAAGTTTCAGTTTGCCATCGGAGTGCTTTTCCACATCGACCGTACCGCGCCCCGCTGAGCAATAGTGCAACCAACATCTGCTTCGCTGTCCTTGTGAAACGCAGCTGAGGCAGGTTACACTATTTCTCCATGGCACGCGCTGTCGTTGGTGCCGAGAAGCGCTCCGACTGCAAAGCGAAACTTTAAAACCCGTCGAAGTTTTGCGGTTTTTGAGAAAGCTTTAAAATGCAGCGCGTGCCTTCTTTAGCACTCAAATTATTTTCATTTAGTGTCTTTTGATGATTCTCAGCAACTTTCCAAAAGAAATTATGCCCTTAAAGTCAACATTGGAAAAAAAAATTATTTACGCGAAAATATTTATTAACAAAATTATTCCGCACTTTAAATATCTTACTAAATAGGCCTCCGGCTTAGGACTAAAACGACACCTGCCCTTTTTGGTGCAATCCGTAGCGTTCTCAAAATCGAATTTGTCCACCTTTCATGAAACAGCCAGTATATGACTTGCACAGGACGTCTGCCCTGCTGGTGTCAGACGCCTGCCGGTGACGTTGTGGAGGGTGCGGTGTCACGCGTCAACGTGCGTCTCGTGATTTTAATAATACACAAAAGGATACGCTATCAACTTCCCAGATCAGCTTTCAACAGAAATGGTAGTATTTTGGATTGTTTTTTTTTGTTTTTTTCTATTTACCCATGCACCTAAACGCAGGTACTAAATATTCGCTACTGAAAGTGCTTAAAGGGTCTCAACTGTGCCCTTGTTTGATTTTATTAAGGCGAAAGCCTTATATGTCTCATCGTTCAGTCGACCTTCAAAGTCCTTGAGTAAAAACACGTCGGTTACAGAAAAGGTACCAAAACGTTTCCGAGAACACTCAGGTGAATTAGAGACAATGAATTTAAGAAGGATGACAATGCGAATTAAATGGAATCCAAGTGATATTAGAGGAATTAAAGTGAAATGAAAATAATTAAAGGGAAGTGGGAGTAATGAATTGGAATTAAGGATTATACGGCGAATATGGTCAAAAAAGAGTATGTGAAAAACGAGAACGTGAAACAAAGTAAATCATGTGTCTGTCTTTTATGCATAGGCGCTTGGGCTTTCAACTTCAGGTCGTCTTAGGAGTAACGTAAGAGACCCTGTGATATTTTGTGAGGTGGTTCCTTTATGTTGGAAATTTGACAGAGGCACGCGTAGGGATCTCTGTTCTACCACTTAAAGCATTTAAGATATTCTCAACAATGCGCTTCTCGCATAAAGAGGGTGTTTTCTAATAGTACTAAAAACACCTAGGTTAAGGTCTTTGAAATACGGTAAGTTGTTGGTGCGGTTTAAACCGTTGAACCACTTGGAATCATGTATATTACACTAAGAAACCGCTGTCGATTTTTCTTGCGCAAGCCTGTTTTCCTATTTATTTATTTGCGGAGCGTTGTTCATTGAGGGGTCCAGAAGATTCATGGCGGTATTATTTTCTTCTTATAAATGAGGTATACTTATTCGCAATGTTTTGTCTAGTTCGCATACGTTGTCACATTTATAAATATGTCCTTACCCCGGTCGTGCTTAACTGCTTTCTCAACAAGTCCAGTGAGTTTGTATGTGCTTGGTTTTTGTCGTAATTGTACCTCAGATGGGTAGAACACAGCTAATTGAACTTCGTCGAGTCAACTTGAAGCTGTAGAGCATTCCTTCTGGGCGTTACCAATGTACGAGAACCACAAAAAGAAACTAATGAATAACTTCGGAAAGGTTGCTATCAGCGCCAGCACAATGCAGACTCATGTTCCCGAGAAGTGCATGAACCAATTGGTCGGCGCTACTTTAACTGGTGCTGGACAAGATGGATGGGGTGGAACTGTCTTCTTGACTTTGAAAAACAAAATGTCAACCTAATCAGTGCCTATTGTAACATGGAGAACGTCCGACCTAATTTCTCTACGCGCCCCGCCTGAAAAGCCATGAACAGTCGTCAGTTTTCTTCTTTTTTTTTTCTTCTCCTCGTTATGCTATTTGTTTTTGCCATTCCTCCTCTCTCCTCGAGACTGAAAAATTCACCTCGCTTCTGGTAGACTGCCCCGACATTCCGCCCTACACGCTTTTCATTTTATTTTTTTCAATTGATTTATTTTTTACTGCAAGATAAACGACAATCTGCAAGCTAGCACTTAAGAAAACGATTTGCAGGAAACAATTTTATCTTATGATGCGGCCAAACGGAACTTAGTTTTTGTGCATCACAGTTTGTACATGAATGCTGAGGACAATCATGTCAAATATAGTTTCCAGGGCGACTACGTGAATCAGATATTCCCGTGGCCAGGCGAGAAGGAAATACGACCTTAGAAATATCTTATTTCTTTCATTACTTTGGTAACCCCAAAGTCATGCTCATCGCCTTCTCTGAATCGGCTATAGAGGCCGACAACTGCAGTAGGAACGTTGTTTTGTAGCAAACGATTCACAACAGTGTCCTTTTCAATAATACCTTGATTGTTTGTCCCCCTTCCCCCTATACAAAGTAGCAAGTCATGCCGAACCTCACAGGTTAACCTTATCGCCATTGTTTCTTGCTCTCTCTTTTTTTTTTTGATACACGCAATATAGGTATCGAGGAGGGTCACTTGCTTCCGGTTGGCTCAATAGA